TTTTATTTCCAATGAGCTGCACAATCGGTCTTGCCGATGAGCAGACCTAGTTCGTTCTCCAGAGGTGGTATCCACTCTTTCAGGACCACCACAATGGGTGAGATACCGTTGGTCATGTTAATTTGGACGTCTAGTTTCTGTCACACTAGATGGCAGCACCGAGACTCTATTTGGATGCTAAAGTGCACTAGGAATTTAATTTTGCCGGAAATGCCAAGAGCCAATGAGGCACTCCAGGGATCTTTTACATGCCGCATAATCATACGACATGGCCGCTGAGGATTTTCTGCATCCCGAAAATCCGGTGTCTGGGCCGGGGATCGAACCCGCAGACTTGGGCTCAGAAGGCCGACGACAAACCAACTGCGCCACCCAGCCACCCCATATTAGAGGTATGTACATTTGAATTATTAGAGGTATGTACATTTAAATTTGATAGTACTACGTAAAAAACCACCATCGGATTTCTTTTTTTATTTTCTTAGTTTATGTAAACAAAATTATTACCTTAATAAATATGATGACAATTATTTAAATTGTAGTTTATCTATCGAATTGAAAAAGAACACAGAAAATCAGTGAAACTATTGCATAATAAAGATTAATAAATAAAGTTATCTTTTAAGACACAAATTCTAAATTTCTTTTGCAAAGCTAATTTAAAAAATGTGCTCAGAAGTTTAGCAGATCATTTGCAATTACTTTATGAACTATTTCAGTCATAAGATATATTGAAGCCCTGTATGGTATTTGAGGCAGATATTGAATGTTATGTAATTCTTTTCTAATAATGGTTTAGTACAATTTTAATATTTCGTACAAATATAGTTTTTAAAATGCAATTTTTAATAATGTGCCTTATACTTTGTTCATGTATAAGAAATAGAAACATGTAATTTGAAATTATAACTTTACGTTATATAAATACATTCTGGTGCAAAACTTTATCTACCGATAATCGAAACAGAATGTCAGAAAAATTTCTAAATTTCGTTATACATTGCTGAAATACAAAGCACCTTTTAATGGAGGATTAATATTAAAAATTTATTAAAAGATACATTTTCTTTAAAAAAAAAACCTTTTTATTAAATTTAAATACAAACATTGAATGCTTCTTTTGCAACGCAAAATTGAAACGAAAAATTCAAATGTCTCAAACTCAAGATCTGAGGCGTCTAATTCTACATTGATTACAAGAAGAAAAGAGACAGTGAGCAAAAAAGAACAACAAAAAAAAAAGAGAGAGAAAGAAACGAGAAAACCGACGACCCTAAATAACTTTTGATCTAATGATCAGATTTTCACTTTCAAGAACCCAATCTTAATAGCACGAGGGAGTGACTTCAAATATGCTGATTAGTAGGAGCAAATGATATTTTAAGTTATGAACTCAGACACAAAAACGTACTTTCTCTGCACCTTTTTTTCGATTCATTTGGGTTTTTGATCCCCAAAACATAGGGTATAGCGGGTATGGGGTTGAGTTTCAAAAGAGTCCGAAACTTAAAATTCTGCTTCTCAGGAATTATGCATATTCTCTCAAATTTTGCATTTTTCCATTTAAAATTATATTATTTAAAATGATGCAAAAAAATTGTATACCTTACGATTCAAATTTTTTTTTTTTAAACAATTCTTGAATAAAAGAGTACAAAGTTATTTTGTGCAAGGAATTATCTTTTGATAAACGAATTTTATAACTGTGTCTAAAAAAATTTCAATTCGCTTAAAAAGCTCTCGAAATAGAGCAAAATAAGCAAAAAGTAAAATTAATATTAAGGGGTCCAAACTATTGGGAGCATATTTCCCTGATTGCTGCCACCCCCGATATTTTAGGGGTCAGAAATCCGAATCCGAAGGTATGTTTATTCAGTTAAAGTACGTTTTGGTGTCTGTTATCGTAACTTAAAATATCGTCTGCACTGATTAATTTGCATATTTGAGGTAACCCCCTTGAGCTATTAAGATTGTGTCCTAGAACGTAAAAATCCGATCATTAGATCAAAAAGATATTCAGGTTTGTTTTCTGCCCACTGTACACTTTAAAAATCATGGCAAAAAATAGGGTTATTCGGACATGCTTAGTAATGGTTCAAATTATTAATAATTATATAATCCGAAGTTAAAATAGTTGGCAGAACAACAGTTACAAAAGACAGCAACCAGCAAAACAGTTATATAATTCAACAGTCTTGTGTTAAGGTACAAATTAAAGGGTCCCAAACTCTTTTAGCTCATTGCCCATTTTGCAAATCAAAACATTTTCAAGGTCCCCTCACATAAAGTTTTTAAAAAAGTTTATTAAACAATTTATAAAGACCTTTTTTTAAAAAAAAAATCTTTAGCATTTTTTTATAAGATTTACATTTAATAATGTCTCTTTTTCCTAATGACCAATGAAATTTTAATTTTTATTTAGCCTATATTTATTGTTTTAAATATTAAAACAATGAGAGTTAAATGCATTCTACGCATGCGCTGTATTAAAGAACCTCTTTAAATGCTGAAATCTTGCGCAATTTTAACCGAAGTTTTTGAAATTTTAAAATTATAATAAATAATAAAAATAGTTCCAAAATATTTGTTTAGTACTTATTGAATGCTTTTAGAATCTGTATTTCCATAAACATTCTAGGTAGGCTTGCAATTATTGCATATAATATCTAAAGTAATCGATACAAGTTTATTGCTATATTTTTCAGGCATTCAAAAACACTTCTTTTAGTTCGTAAATTATTGTCTGCCACTCAAATCTCTGAAAGCTTTAAATTTTATTGATAAGTAGTTGAAATCGTATAACCTAAACACCTCAAAAATTCTTCTAATGTCTGAAAAATGCCTAGAGACGAAAAAACTTTTGTGATCTGAATGTGAATGGAAACAGGTGGCTTGGAGCAGAACTCTCTACCTATAGCAACACTACGTATGTTTTCGCCATTAGCGTGTGGAGAGTCATAGAAGAAGTAAGTAAGTTAGTTTCTGTCTTGATTTTCATATAGATTAAAATCTTTTAAGTTGGGGAAACTATATGGAACTGAAAACTACATTGAAAATAGTTCTTAGAAAGCATTATGAAAATTTTAACAAATATTTTCATTAATTAAAAACGGAAAGAAGAGGAAAATTATCGTAGTGCATTCAACTGAAAAGAGGAGAAGAGAGAAGGGGCCATGGTATCGGTCTTCTCCCCAGATGGCGTATTCGAGTGTTACGATCGCCCATTATGACGAATTTCCAAGCCCCCCGACAAAATCTCAATATTAAAAATCCAAAAATTCTGGATTTGTGACACGTTAAAAATTAATAATTTTCCTCTAATTAAGATATAATTTTTTAGAGAAATACATGTTTAATGCCTTTTAAGCATGCGAAATTATATAAAAATGGTTTAAATAGAAGACAATTTTATTCATATCTGATATCAATAAAAAAAAGTGAGAAACGAATATCGTTTCCTTATTACAATTTTAATAAAGCAATGTGAACACAACCATCTACTAAGTTCTCTCCTAACAAAAGAAAAATTCTACTATCGTTTACCTAAACCAACTTTCGATGATTTTGCGGGTTAGCCTCATGTTTGTGTAAAATGAAATAATAAATGGGGCCAAGTTTTGAAATTATATGTTCATACAAAAGCAAAAGATAGGCCTTTATGCATGTGCTGACAACACAAAGAAGAAAGAAAGGAAATTAAAAGAATGAAATTACAATTAGTTTCCTTAGTGCCTCAACCAATTTGTTTATTACTTTCAGATCTGGCTTCATGTTTCTGTTAGCCGTTTAGCGCTTCATACCATACTATATGTTCTTTGTCATCTGACACCTTTACGGAATTCAAGCTTCAATGTCCATGGATTTTAGGAAGCATAATGAAACCTAATGTTATATTTTTTTATATAGTTTGAAAAAGAAATACGTTCTTTAGCAATATACCTAAGCCTGACCTACTTTCAAAATTATAGGTTAAAAAAAAGGAGATATAGGCCATTATGTTTATTAAGAACATGAGCTGTAATCTTCAATTACACTAAAGGAAAAATTACACCTTTGTACCCCCAACTAATTCGTTTAAAATATTGCTGCTGACCCTTGTGTATTGTAATAATGAATGGGGTCGAATCGGAAAATTTCAGGCTAATAAAGGAAAAAGTAGGCCTTTGTATATTTGCCGATAACAAAAAGAAATTTCTGCTGCTTAAACCGTTCTTTGAACAGAATTTTGGGAACGTGAGATCTTTACCAAGTCGACAGTTCAAAATTGCTATCGAATGGAGCAAATTATCATTTAAGAAGCGAATTATCAATGAATTGTTAAAGAGTAAATTCTAAACGAGTTCAAACTTCTTGTCAATAATTCTAAAAATTAAAGCAATAAAAAAAGCTTCTTGCCTCTGAGAAGGACAAGGACATTACCAAGCAACTTTAAAAAAAAATTATCGAAATTCAGCTAAATATGAACACATTTAAGGAGAAGTGAATGAAATTGTTTATGACAAGGGGGAGGTAGGGGTAATAAATAATTAATGTAATGTAATACCCTATATTTTGGTTTAAATTAATATATTTAAAATCAAGATTAGTTAGTTTTAATTTTTTCCCCTTTATCTTTTACATCAAAATAAGAACCAACAACTGAACTCAGTGGCACGACCACCCTTAATGGGCAATGGCGTACTGTGCTCATTCCAGTTTTATTGACCATGGGTTATGGGGTTCAGTATCAGATATTAAGGTTTTTGGATCAGCCGAAAGGGAACCCCAACCCCTCTTACAGAGTTTAATATTCAAGCAAGCTTGATACTCTTCTGTGAGAAACTTACCTATCAGATTCATCTCTGACTCGACGGTGATTGAAATGTGTAAATCAGAAGCAGTGAGAATGGTCCCTTTAACTTTACGGGATTATTATTCGCCAGGTAACGCTGCAAGCAACTTTTACAAGAATTATCGATTTCAGGCTTTGAAATAATTGTTACTATCGATCAATTAAATTGAATTCCTTCTCTGTTATCGAATCATACGCAAACAAAACATCACCGGTTCGTCTGTCAATCACATGACAGAAGTTTTGATTTCTTCACTTATCTAACTTAATAAAATTATTTGTCACTTAACTTATAACTCTCTTTTAATGATTTTCGCGAATGACTTCGGTTTTAAAGCAATACATTTTATACTATTAAAAATTATAGAAAGGCTCGTGAGTAATGGGTTCACTTTGTAGCTCTTGTTGTGGTAACAGGGACGATGATATATATGAGGTAAATATATATTTTTTGACATTAGCTCCCAAATGTGTTACTCAGAAATACCTATTTTAACTCTTTATTGGGAATAGTATTTGAATAACGTTTTTATTATTTTTATCTTAACCCTTAGTGGGGAGTTTTATAGTAAGTTTGAAGATTATTATAAATGTTTTTTTTTTTGCACAATCGGTCNATTTTTTTTTTTTTTTTTAAATATTTCATTTTACACTTTTTTTTCTTGCCTTGTGCTTTTTCTAATCTTATCAAACCGGCTGAACTATGCATATAGTGCGATAAAAATGCTTTTCAATATATTGTGTTATAAATTTAATAAATCTTTTAATCATAAACAAGATTATTGGTTTTATAATGTACTGAGTTGCAATGGTAAATTTTTGTGTGGGGGACTAAAATTTCAAACATATTTGCATTTTCTTAATAATTAAAATAGCATGTTGTAACTTTTGTTTCTCACTTCATTTAGTTAAAAATTTTCATAATTGTAACCCCTTAAAAATGAGGTTTTTCCATTTAAAATACTAAATATAATATCTTTATATCAAAGCCAGTTATTACAAAATTTTAATACCTTACATATATTTTTTAAGTTAAAAGAAATTGTGTTTAGTTACTATATCAATGTTTTCAGTAGGCTTTGCTTTATTTTGTGTTTTTGCACCCATTAGTTACAATCATAGTTAGTAAATTCAAAATTTTACAATGAATGAAATACTGCAAAAATTAGAAGAAACAAAAATTGTATATTTTTGAGAAACCAGTGGGAATCATCATTCCTTTATGTACCAATTTAGGAATTTTCCATAATATTGTATCAATTATTTATTTATCTAGTTTTATTTCATTTATTTTATTTTATTTATTATTTTTTTTGATGTTAGAATGGTTTTTTTTCCCTCCTTTACCTCATTTTTCATTATCAAATTTTTACTTGTGTTTTTTTAATAATTCCTATATATTACATATCTTTAGTTTTGAAAAAAATCAGATCTAGCTTATTCTACTTATCTATTTACGTAATGTTTTTCCTTAAATAGGAATTATTGAAAATACTCTTCCACCTCTAAGAAATACTATTGCTTTGTGTCTTTTCACTGTTCTATACACCACTGAAAAAAAAAAACATTATGCTACTCAATCACTAAATTATCTTAGATTTCCTAGTCTATGTGCACAAACCTTAAATAGTTTGTGTAAAGATGCTTGTATGAGCTTTCTTGCAATCTTTTATCACAATTAGACATCTATAACATATATCTCTCTGAATTTTTTTAGTCCTGCAGTGGACTGATCTTTAAGGCACGGTTCCCAGCAGATCACCAAAGCCAAGCATCACTGGCTACGATCAAAGTGCGGGTGGGTGACCACTTGGATCAGTCTGCGTAGGGACCGAGGATGTGCGGTATGGGTCCTCATTAAACTGTTCTAACATAGAGTACTAGACTTCGCTTGCAGGTCGTCGGGCTACCAAAGCGGGGGTGCCATCCCCTCTGCAGAGAATCAAAATGTATGTGATGGCATGTCTTCGGATCATCCTCGCAGGTGTTTCCCAGACCAATAGCCCATGGTGCAGCTCTAGTGCGACGTAAATTAACTACAACAACTGAATTTTCATATTAGTCATATTTTATACTTTCATATTTTTTATGTATACTTACATCATATAGATGGATGTAGGCAAATATACTGTACAATGGGAATGTTATGGATTGTTTCGGTGGCTCTCCTTTGATCATTATGAAAGGCATAAGAAATCAGCTGAAATCTGTTTATGCCAACAATGTCCGGTATTGTTTTCTTAAGCCTGATGGCATCTACCTTACCAGCAGGATAAAGAAATAAGTACATCTGTGTTTCAAAGAGTACCAAAATGAGTTTATCAAACTCAATATACAGATTTGATTTTCTATACTCAAACTCAATAGAAGGTCAGTCTTTATCAACTGGTTAGGGTCAAAGATCTTTAACCTAGTACAGCTGTCCACTTTGTGACTCTCTTTCAGTAGTCTGTCTGCCCTTCAAAACTTGGTTATTTTTATAGCTAGAATAATGATCAGTTTACATTTATTGTAAGAGATGTTCTCATATCTAGGTTGGTATCATCTCTAGATCTCATATCATCTGATGGGAAGATTTTCATAGATGATACAATTCAAATAGGTATGAAAAAAGAAATTAATGGTTATGTTTATTTTTTAGACAGAACAAAATGATAAAACAAATCTGCTAGGTAGTCCTGTTGGAGAGCCTTCTTAGTAAGTCATAATTTTTTTAAAAACTTTTTAAGTATTTGTTAAACTTATTATTTTAAAAATGCNTCGGTTAATGGGAAGACTTTCATAGATGATACAATGAAAAAAGAAATTAATGGTTATGTTTATTTTTTAGACTGAACAAAATGATAAAACAAATCTGCTAGGTAGTCCTGTTGGAGAGCCTTCTTAGTAAGTATCATTTTTGTTTTAAAACTTTTTAAGTATTTGTTAAAGTTATAATTTTAAAAATGCAGTAGCATTTAATTTTTATTTAAGTGTACCAATCTTTTTATTGTAAGCTTTTTTAAATATTTGTTCTTGCTGTAACAATCCTGTGGCAGAATTTTTTCTGCAACCCTAGCATTAATATTTTTCTTTGAGTTACTTTTAATTATGACAATTACTAATTTTAAAGTAACATTGTGTTTACAGTATAGAATAAAAACATATAAAAAATTTTAATTGTAAAAGTAAAATTTTTTTAATTCTAATATAGGCACTTTTTCACATTTTGTGGGTGGAAAAATACACTAATTATGCGAATTTTGTTATTTTAAACTTTGTGAATCATTACAAAAATTAAAATTCATAAGTAAATTGAAATGTGCACATAAATTAAAATTAGTAAAACCCATGTAGTAATTCCAAAATAAACATCAACAACAAAATCACGCGAATAATACTCTTTAAAAAAGATACTCAAATAAGTGTGCATTAAACATGGTGTTCGTTAAGGAAATAAAAATGAAGGAGAGAACATCATTTCTAGAGCGAACTATCTTTTAGACTTTCAGGATTTCTGAATTTCTCATTTTATATTATTAAATTTACTTTCTAGCTGAAGCCAGTCATTAAGAACTTTTTTTAAATCCAAAGTATAAATAGAAAAATTATGGTTATTTTTCTCCTCTCTGGTGTACAAGAAAAATATCATTGAAAAATAATTCTGCAGATCAAAAAATCAGTTTTGGAACAAATATGCAGTAAGGTAAACCAAAAATTTTCCCTTTCCAAATGAAAAATCTTTCTGCACCAATGTCGCCGCAATTCTGATACAGGGGTAATAATTAATTTTTTCTTTAGAATGTTATTTTCTCAATTTAATATCCTAGTATTATTTTTCTTAATTTCAATCAAGTTTTTTCTTATTTTTGTATCAATTATTTATCTATTATTATTATTATTTTTATTTGTTTAAATTGTTTGTTTATTTTATTTTATTTATTAGGACATTACCAAGCAACTTTAAAAAAAAATTATCGAAATTCAGCTAAATATGAACACATTTAAGGAGAAGTGAATGAAATTGTTTATGACAAGGGGGAGGTAGGGGTAATAAATAATTAATGTAATGTAATACCCTATNTATATATATATATATATATACACTTAAATAATCATTCTTATGCTACCATGTAGAAGTAGGAAATTCTTTTAAAAGTATTGATAATAAGTTCTATTTTTATATACTTTATTTAATTTACTAATTAATTTAATTTCAATTTGTAGCAGCTCAAATGTTACTCAAAAGCATCCTCCTGGAAGCCTTGGAGATCAGCAAGAAAAATTGAATAGGATATTGCAAAAGACTGCCAAGTAAGGAAGGCATCATAATATTAAATGTGGTTCATTTCATATGTTCTTAATATATTTTACAATTGTAGTATCTATAAATTATGTAAAATGTTATGCCTAAACCATTTGAGTACTGTACCATTTATTTTTCTTTCAAAAATAATGCCGTTGCCTAAGACCATTCAAAAGACTAGCTAATTACCTGAGTTAATTAGCGAGCTATGCATAAATATATTTTTCAATATGAAGTTTTATAAATTGAGAACAATCAATATGCTTGATATCCATTCTACTGTTAGTAAATGAAAATATATACGTGGCTACCAACTCTACTGGATTTTGCTAGTTTCTCCTTATCTACTGGTTTAATAAGAATTCTTCTGGTTTTTGTACATTTCAGAAAACTACCAAAAATAGTGAAAGTTTCCTAACAAAATCCCTATGAAAATAGAATTTTTGTACAGATTATTGCTTGCTTGAATGTTTAAATAAGTATTAATAATATATATGGAAGTGCTTCATTTATAGAAATCATTTTTTTTGTTCTAAAATGTTCAGTTTATTTTTATTCAGAACTCTCTTTTTAAATAAATGCAAGAATCATAATTACTTCTTATGAATTTTAAATGTCTGTCACTATTCAAAATTATGTATCATATCATATATAATCCTGTATCCTATAATAATGTGTATCAGTTAACTATTTTTTTTTTGGACAAAATTTTTACATAAGGCTTGCCTTTTTAGCTTCCCTTTAATTTTTTTGAATCCTTTAAAATTTTTCAGAAAATATTATAAGTGGGTAATTTAAAAATTGATTATACCAAATTCAGTTATTATATAATGTTAAACATTTCGATACATTTTAATGGAGGTAAGTGAATGCCCTTTCAAACTCAACGTGCCCTTTTCTGTGAGAATGCACTCTGTTCTTTTTTATTCCTTGGGAGAAATTTGTGTGTATACATATGCAGGGCCCGTGCTAAGTATTCACTACCTCGCCCAAATCATTAAAATCAATTTGGCAAATAAAATTTTGTTTTGGCATAAGTATTGGCAAAGAGTTTTGTCCACTGGAACAAAACTAAAATGACATCAGAAAGGATTTTCTCTTAATAAATCAGTATTTCGATTACAGTAATATTCGGTAGATGCGCGTCATAACCCATTAGAATTGGATCCTAATAATATAAGTCAGAAACAAACTACCATAAAATAGTTTTCTATGGAAAGAAAATTAATCATAAAATTTTTTTAAGATTTGCATTTGGCGAAGATATCGAAAATTGTGAATACTTTTGATTTTTGCCTAATTTGCTGGCTGAATCCTTAGAGCGGATCCTGTATTCACATATCTTGAAATGTCCTGTATCTTCCACGAATTTCAGTACTTATTTTTACGGACAATGTTCTCAGTGACTTTTGGAGCTGTGGGTCCTTAGGACATAAAAATTTCCAGTTTTATTTTTAACCACATTAAGACTAATATTAAATAAGTTAAAGCATTCTAATTTTTTTATAAATTTCAAAATTCTACCTGAAATGAAACTAATTAGCACTTCAAATCAATTTTATTTATATTTTCTCCTTTCGCTATTAATACAGATTTTTATTTATTTATTAAATATTTTGAAGTTTAGTTTTATTCTATCTGCATAAGTCTACTGGTGTGCTATTATTTTTTTTTCTTGGTAGAGATTTCCGTGTCCCAGAGGATGCGTTTGAACTTTTTTTTCTACGATTTAACTTTTTGTTTTCTGATAATTTTTTTTTAATATTTGATGCTCTGTGGCGCATAAGTGCTATTTCTGATACTCAAAAGTGTTTTTTCTTAATTTTATGTTTTATATACATAGGTTTAGCTCGAAAGTATTTTTTTATTAATTGAAAAATCAGACTTTATAAATGACTTGCAAAACAAACAATGACTTAAAAGTAAGCATAGCTTCTAAAGATTTTGAAAAAGTAGCATAAAAACTTCAATTTCTTGTATTTTGTCAAGCTCTGATGCATATTTCCAAGGTTTTTATATATATGTTTTTTAAATTCTTTATGTTGGGTTTAAATTATTAAAATAATTTTAAAACAAGTCCAGATTCAATATATTGCAGCATAAAATTAACTACCTCTACAAAATACTGCTCCTAAAAGTCGTGTTAAGTTTGGGAGGTATGTGTAAGTGATAGCTTAAAAATCATTCAATATTTTTTAATTTGTTGCAATTAAAACACATGAAAATAAATTATAAGTTCTATTACTTTTTAATTACATTTAGCATTTATTTAGTATAGTCTATTAAATTAAATAAAAAAAATTTACTATTGTACTTTTCAACGTAGTTTTATAATTTTCATAGGTGTTTTTCCTTTCTGTCAAAAGTTTCATGGTAATTTGTTTTTTATTTCCCTGTTTTTAATTTTTTTTTCTTTGTACCCCATATATATTGTTTTGATTTTTGTAATAAAGAGTATTTGTAACAGGAAAGGCACCGCTATATTGCTAAAGTAAATGAAATTTTTTCCTTAAAAATCAATAAAACTATAAGCCCCCTCAAAAAAAGTTGTTTTTTTTCTCTTACGCTACAATTTTGTTTATGATGTTCATCAACTAAACTAGCACAGTGAAATTTTTTGTGAAATCTTAATTTCTAATGTTGAATGTTTTTTTCTTTTAGTAGTTACATAGATGTGCCTGCTTTAAATTCTCCTGTTGACCAGCCAGTGGACAAAGCGAAGGACTATGAATCAAAAATTCAAGCCGCTTTGAAAACCAAACATTTCAATGAAAAATCATCATTATTACAAGATACTCCACACTTAGAGAGGACATTGTCTGAAGAACCCATTTCTGATAATGAGCGAAATTTGGTAAGAAGATACTCTTCTAAATTATCGGGAAACGATTTCTCTTCGGTAAATAGTTAGTTTAACTTAAAAAGTTACGTCTTAAGTGCTAAACAAGCATTTTTATTTAATTCATTTACTATTTAAAAAATATGTTGTACTTTTTAAATTTTGTGTTAAATTTAATCGTTCCATTACCATTTTCTTTTTATTGGAGTATTTAATCTACACTTAGATCTTGTGAAGTATGTTCTTTCACTTGTTCCAAACTGAAAAAAAAAATCTTGTAACCCATAGGGCAACTATTTTAAAATACAAAATTTTTATTCGATTAGAAATTGCTACGTATTTACCAAAACATGTTTTAACCAAATTCAAACATATTTAGCACTCCAGGAATTGTCCTTCAACCATCTTTGTTATGGTATTTGTTTAATTTTTCATGTTTTACTTCCTTAGTTGGACCAAGATGTATTTCAGTTAAAAGAATTATGTTTTTCCATTAATTAAAGAGATAAGGTAGTTGATCAATTCTAATGGAAAACAGAAACATATGTTGATACAAGAATTTTATTTTATTATTATTTTTTAAATGTTTCTAATTTAAATGAATAAGCAGAGCAATTAATAATTTTACTGAGGGGTGATTGTGCTCCGGAAAAAAACCGGATTTTTCGCCAACTACGATCCGAATATTTCTGAAAATCCAAAAGTTTCAAGAAATCATTGATCACATTTATGTATAAAAATTCTTGTATATTTTATTTAAAAACATTCCAACTAAAATTTATACTTGACATCTCTTTTATTTGTAAATATTTTTTCTGGAAGAAGAATAAATGTGATTAGGAGATAAAAGTAATTATTCATTTAAATTATGCTGCATTTATGCTTCATTTAGAATATCATGTTTTGAACATTTAAATGACTTAAATTTATGAAGATATTAATTTTGTGAATGATTTTACTCGAGAAATTTTCGGGATTTTTGATTTGGACCCACAATTACTTCATGATCATGCATAAAAATATTAAAAAATAAAACATTGCTCTATTTGCCTCGAATCATGGTTTCAAAAAAAGTTTTTTTCTTTTATATATATAGATAAAAAAAAAACACCTTGAACAAGAAAAAGTTTTATGCCTGTTTGATTAAAGAATTTTGTTATAGATTGTTTGCATTCTGTTTTAATATTTTTTTTTCTTCCTTTTTTAAATTTTTATGTTTGAGGTTGTTATATTTTTATCTTTGACTACGTAGCTACGTTTTTCATCTGCCTTTTGTGAATAAGTCATTTCCAACTTTTTTTCCCCCAGTAGACATTTTATCAATTACTGGAATCATAAAATAACCCCACATCTTTCCATTTGACCTACAAATAATTTTTTTTCTCTTGGCTTATAAATACAGTGTGTTGCTTTACGTTCATAGTGTTTTTTACTTGTTTACAATGCTCGTGAAAGTTTTGCTCTAATAAGTCATAAGTACAAGAACTGCTTTGCTATCTAACTAAAGTCCACTAAACTAAATTTAGAGGCACGACAGCCCATAGCGGGTCATGGCCTACTGGGCCCATCTCAGTTATCTTGACCTTTGGGCACTGAGTTGCAAGAGTGGATGTTCCAGTTGAGTGGTCAGCCTAATGCAGAATCCCCGGTGTTTATCTCCCAAGTGTGCTTGGTTCTCGTTTTATCGACCCACCGACGAAAGGCCGAGACGACCGTGCCCGAACCGGGGATCTGTGCCGTGACGGTGCGAGGCGCTACCACTCAACCACTGGGCATCACAAAAGTCCACTAACTATGTATAAAAACCTAACTGTGCATAAAAATTAAAGAAAAACTATTTCACTTATTAGTAATAAACACCTGCAAATATGTGGTTAATCTGAGTTTGAATTATGAACTGCAAGTTAAAATATTAAAAAATTGTTTCCTGGAATCCTAAAATAAGAATGATTTTCTTTCAATGAAGTTTTGCTTGATAAATAAAGAACAGTTGGAATTCTCAATTTGTGCAAGATTTTTTTTAGCATATAATTTCTGTGTACAAATTATTTCCACAAAGAAAACAAACTATAAATAAAAATTGCTACACACATTTGCATGAAAACAATCGAGTATGTTATAATAACTTATATACTAATTATCAGAGAAGTAAATGTCTTGTTTTACTAGATTTTATTGTTCAAAAAATCGTGTAAAAAAACTTCAACTAGTTAACCAGTAAATATTCATTGTCTGAGATTCAAAAGTGTTATATTTCCTTTTAAAATTTTTTAGCGGCGATAAATTATCATTTATCGCCGCTGTATGATATTTATTATAATTTTCTGATAAATGAATTTTATTTGGGGTCATTACATGACCCCCATGCATCTTTAAGTTTATTCAGTAGATGCAAGTCCTCCCAGGATAAGTTTAAATAAAAAAAATTTTTTAGCTTAGTTATAAATTTTTCTTTCATAAATCACTTATGTAATATTTTATTTTCAGCTGCAGGAAACCAACGCATCTATATTAGAAGCACTTCAATCTATGCAAGTGGAAAATTCTGAAAATTTAGTAATTCCTTTCAACAACTCTAAAAACAATCAGTGAACACAAATTCTAATTAACTATCAGTTGCTTGTCAGTATTTTGATAGCATTTTTGGGTGCCATATCTTTTCTGTAAATATCTTTAGATCTCTTTATTTTATATACTATGTAAACAGATACTGATTTTTTATTTCTGTTGTAAATGCATGGGGTCAGGCCTACTCTTTTAATCGACATTCCGGGCAAGTTCCTGTTACCATGACCTTTCTTTTTATTCCTCCACAGTTTTGTACATTTTTACTGAAGATACAATATTGTTAATGTTCTGAATGAAGATACTTTATTGTTAATTTGTGTAGTTTGTATTTTTACAAGTATTTGAATAGCTATAAAGTTATTTTGGTTTCATATTTGTGGTCTTCTATTAAACAAACACAGAATTTCACTCGTTGCATAATAATGAAGTAAAAGCTATAGCTCGTTTAAGAGGAGTTGACTCCGCCTTCATCATCACATGGTCTGCACCAATACTATTTCACCATTTTTGGGAGAAGGATGTGAGCAATCCTGCTATTTGTCGATCATATGGCAAAAATATTTATTTCACTTCATCTGCATTTTTTTAACATCAAATATTTCATAGATTTGATATTTCTCTCTTTTGAATGAATAGTTTGTCCTTTTTGAGACATTTTGCTGGAAAAACAGCAGTTTTTAAATTTAAAATATTTAATTAGTTAGAGTAATGAAAGCATACCTGCCAACTTTCACTCTTTCTGAGAATGAATTTTCCAAGTGGTAGTAAAACAATTACTGAAAAACAATCTTACTCAAAAATATATTTATATTTTTACTAGGTTAAATTCTTTATTGTGTGCTTTTATATATTTGTTGTAATTATTTATATGTAGTGGTGGTCAAACTCATTTATAATTATTATTATAATAGCATGACATGAGTTTCGGTACCACTTTAAATACAAAATTAAAACCNTGCTTTTATATATTTGTTGTAATTATTTATATGTAGTGGTGGTCAAACTCATTTATAATTATTATTATAATTAAAAAATTTTAATAGCATGACATGAGTTTCGGTACCACTTTAAATACAAAATTAAAACCGGAAGAGTTGGCAGCCCTGCGAAAGGTATAATATCAGATGATAAAGCAAAATAAGTGACTGAAAAGAATTCACTGTTTGTGTTTTGCGCCCAGTAAGGGTTGTCTCAATTTCAAGCGCGGATATGTTTCTCCTCTTACTCCCGTGCTGAAATGAACTCTGTCTGAGGAGGTTGAGCCAACTCCTGGTGAGCAAACTATACTTCAAAAGTTAAAAAATAGAAAAACTGTGCATTCAAACTATCAGGAATATTAAAATTAGGTTTTTTTTGTTGTTTTTACTTATAGAAATTATATTGCTATTATAATTTTCTATCAATAGTTTACAATGTATTATCATTTAAAATACACAAACCTGTAAGTTGAACTAGGGTACTTTTTCAGGAAAATTATGAAACTTGAAAAAAATGCAGGTTCCTATTTAGGATTTTGGTATAAACCCTCCTTTCTCTATTTAAACCCCATAGGGTGAGGCATGAGGGGTTGAGTTAGTATTCAATGAATAAATATTTGATTTTTTGATATAATTTCTCAAGATATTTTATTTTCATAATTTTTGGACATTTTGCAATATTTATTAGCAACTACTAAAAATTGTTGCAATATTTTTTCCCTTTTCTTTCATTTTATTCAACAAAATTTAAAAATATTTTGAACTCTGAAAAAAAGTTTTTGTTGAATAGAATGAAAGTAAAGGGGGAAAATGTTGCAATAATTTTTGTAGTGTCTAAAAATTATGAAAATATCTTGTGAAATGTGCGTAAATATTTATTAACAGCTACTGAAAATTATTGCAATACTTTCCCTCTTTTATTTCATTTTATTCAACAAAATTGAGAAATATTTTGAACTCAGAAAAAATTGTTTTTAGATAACTTAAAGCTGTATTAAATGCAGGATTAGCTGTGTAAGCTACCATTATTTAAACATAGAAATAAGCTATTTTTATGAAGATTTTTAGTAGTTTTCTGCAGAACCTTTGCTTAACTGCTTAGTCAATTTGCTAAGTATCAATATTATTTAGAAATTTTACTTATTGTAGCCAAACTCAATTGTGGAAGAACTAAAACTAATGATTTGGTGACATACCAACTAGTTAATAACACTGCTTTCTTATCCTTAACATATTGAAAAAAATTGTTAACTTTATCTTACCTGTCAAAAGTAAGTTAAAGGTTATTTAAAAACTTAGAAAATATTATTTTTGCACTTGTTCTTAGCAGTTATACTTTTTAAAATCAAATTAATTCACTGATAGAAACAAATTAAATACAATTTAGGATATTTGATCGAATCAAAATTATCAAATCAAGAAAAAATCTTATATATATATATATATTTTAAATATTTAAAAAAAAATGAACTAAGCCTGCCATGTCATTAAATAGATTGTTATAAATTAGTATAATGCGTTTTAAAAGTAGCTGTCGTATATTTCTATATTTTCTAAGATAGCGTTTTCAAAAACTTTTTAGTTGACTGCATGATCAAAATAAATAGAATTATTTGCTTCAATATAAAAATTGTATGATAAAGAAAATAAACATTAATTTATAAAATTTAATTAATGAGGGAGCTGAAATCTTGTGTTTCATTAAACTATATGTGCTGCAGTACACAGTTTGGGAAAAAATGCATTTAGCTCTTCAAATACGTTCTCAATGTCAAATTTGTTTTTACTATTGCATCTTTAGAATGTGAACCTTTGTGGGGAGAGTAGTTATCGACAATTTTAACCTTCATCTATGAAAAGGTACCCCCACCATAGAATCGAGTTAACATGTCTTATATACGCTAGTGAATTGGACATTTGTAGTGGTAGGAACACTCCCCCATCAAAATTATATCTGTGATAGAATTCATTGCTGCTTTGTGACAAGCCGGGAGAGCTATATTACGACCAACGTACTTTTGCTAATTGTTAGAGCTGTATTAAGTTCACAGCCGTGGTTGCTCCTGTGTTGCCACTAGCAGTTGAGTGTGATAGACTTAATGTCACAAGTAGCAAGTCAACTGTTCAATGTTGACATCGAGGTAGGCATGTTCCCATCACGTCCTAAGATCACCAATGTGGGGACAGTAGCTATCAACCATGTCAACCATCATTTATAAAAAGGTATCCCTACCATAGAATCTAGTAATATCACTTACATACTAGTGAATTGGAATTATATTTTTGTAGTGGTAGGAACCTTGAAGTGCAAAGCTTTGAGTTTTATAGATCACTTATCTTTAAACTTACTTACCACAGTAGTACACAGTTTGGGAAATAATGCATTTAGCTCTTCAAAATGTCAATATATTTTTTGTTATTAATACAGTTGAAGATGCAAACCTTGAAGTGCAAAGCTTTGCATTTCATAGAATTATGTGTTATATAAATCATTTCACTTTTTTAAACTTAAATTACCAAATACTTTAAATTAATTTTTGAATAAGAATACTTAAAACACAAATGGGCACACTTAAATATTCATTATTTACAGAAAAAATATTAAAATTTTCTGGAGCATTAGAACTAATAGCAAACAATTTTACAACTTTGGTTTGCTTAGCTTTTGAAGTTGTAATCACCACTTAGTAAAAAATTAATAGATTTTGCTTGAATACAGAAATTTTTCCACTGCAATTTTCATTGTTTACACCCACAAAGTTAATGCGATTTACAAAATTCAGTTATATAGATCTTCTAATGCATCACACTATTGATCACATTTAAATGTAGAAATAAAAAGAGACACATTTTATGATACATATTTATCTATACTATATACAAATTGAAAAGTAATAAATAGAATCATATCTCTACTCTATACAAATAAATAAATAGATTAATACAAGTTATTTCCTCGAAGACTTTGCTCTAGATGAATGTGAACGTCCAGACTTTCCTCTAGAAGATTTCATTCTAGGTATTCTCGTCACACTTTCCGTATTGTAAGAAAGATATAGGTGAGACAAATCCAAATTGTCAGCCTGAAAAAAAAAATTCTTTTAAACAAACTTAGAATTTTGGAAATAAATATTAAACTTTAAGAGACTGCTTTGCTTAGCAATATTCTCGACTATTTTTGTTCTGTAGACCATAGATTGTTACTTCAACATAAGAAAATTAGTCTGTTAGAAGATTTTGACAATTTTATATATAGGGGGCATTCAAGTGAAACCTGGTCACTAGTGTAAAGTAATGGTAAAGATTTTGATAACTCACGAATGTAGTTATACACATACTCAAAAATAGTCACCAAAACTGTTGGCACATTTATCCCAGTGCGACACTAGCCGGTTGATTCTATCCTTGAAGAAGCTAGTAGGCTATTGCCCTGGACCCAGTCACACATGCCGTCATCCATTGTGAATCGATGTCCGCGAATAACTTGTTTTAGAGGTCCAAAAGCATAAAAGTCACATGGTGAAAGGTCTGGGCTGTACGGTGGATGTTCCAGCATTTTCCACTGAAACTCATTGTTCCTACTTACTCGGCTGCATGTTCCGTAGTGGACGATAACTTGTTTGAACACCTTCTCTTCGGCGTGAACCACACTGTCGCTATGCAACATCAAACGTTGTGCATGGTCAGTCTCTATATCAATAGATGGTGCCGTCAATACAGTTACATGACGCCCCATTACATCTAATGCAAAGTTAGATGCACTGTCCAGGTTTCATTTGAATAGCCCTCATATAGATATAAACTTTTGATATTATAAGTATACTTTATATAAAATAAAACTTTAATTTCAAAACAACTGTTATAAATTTAAATTTAGCATGTTTTTTAAACTCAAATAACCTTTTGCATTGAATAATATGTTCGAGCAACACAAAGAAGTTTTTTTTTCTCTCATAATTAATTTAAAAAAAAGAAAACTACAATCAAATTTACTACAAAGTTATATTGGCTGAAATTTTTTTCTATTTGGAATTGAATTGAATTGAACTAATTTTTATAAAACTTTAATAATGATTCTTTCATAAATATTTTCTAATAATGGTTACACTAATTATTTTCGAAACTATTATTTTTAAACTAATTTAAAATTTGAAAATAAAAAAAGAATTAAAAAAACTCAATAAAAAATCTGATTCTTTTAAGGAAAAAATGAGGTTTATTTCATTATTAAATAGTATAAATTATTAATTTAAATTTTCACATTAACAATAATCTGAGTGAAAAATTTGTTTTGAAAGGAATTATTTCAAAAATATTTTCCAATTTTCTAAATTTTTCAAAAACAGTTGAATAGTTATTAAATCAGAAAACTGGGAAAATTATAAGATTCAGTAGTTTAGTGGAAAATACAGTAAAATTAATAAGTAGCTATTTCATATAAATTATGAGTTCACCAAAAGTTATTATTGGTTTTAATTTTTTCTTCCTTTATATCTCTAAATAAAGAATACTTTGTATTTCACATATTATTATAATCTTTGCCAAAATGAAATAAAGGCATATTTATATTGCTTAAACAAGGAAGGAACACAGAATAAGAGTAATAGGATTTAATGTCATAAATAATAAATTCACAAAAAAATCTTGGTGTTAATCCATTCATCTTTCCATTAAACTTCCTGTATACCAGATATTTCATAATGATTGCCCTTAATACAATCCTCATAAAATATTGTAACAAAAGGGCATACTCATAAACAGTTGCAAATTTTTATATAAATGATGAAGAAATTCTGGGGAAATCTGATGAATCACAAATGAGGAAGACAGGATCTAGAAGTTAATAATCACAAAAGCTTCTCTTCTTTTTATTTTGGCAATCAAACAAATTCAGATGTTTTTTACCTTGACTTCCTCAGGTGATTCATTATGGCATAATTGTTTATTTCACAGATCTAGTATAATTTTGCACGAAATAACGTGTTTACTTTTTTAATTGGTTTTTGACAAAGATTCTAAAAATGTATACTATGGGTGGTTATTACAGAAACATTCTATATATCTCATTTAATGCACTGTGGAAAACAAGATAAACACCCCCTGAGATATTAGCTGCTTAACTCAAAAAGTCTCAATTAAAAAATGTCTCACTTTTTTAAAAAGAAAATTCAAAAATTTAGCACAGAACCACTTATTAACTTTTAAAATACTGCCTCTTTCTGTAATACAAAGTTTTACATTGTGTATCACAGATAGAATATGTACGAGCAGAATTTTTAAAAATAAGAAAGAACATAGGGTTCTAATTACAGTAGTTATAGTTTGAGTTTTCTATAAATCCGAGCAAGTGAAAAAAATCAGTCTTGCTCCTAAAGAATGACCAACACGTGGAGGGATTACTATGACTGAATATTGAAAAACAAATTTGTGTATTAAATTTGTTTTAAAATTGATTTTTGTGTATTAAATTTGTATTTGTGTCCCTCCGACCACAGTGTTGGCGTTAAATATAAGTCAGTGGTAGACGGATCATGGGTTGGTTGAGTCCCCACCTCTTCAGGCTAACCATGGAAGGTTTTCATTGTTTTCCTCACCATATAACGCAAATGCGCGTTAGTTCCATCTAAAAGTCCTCCTCAAAGGCACTACTTGATCCAGAAGTTTCCTTATCTTCTGGATTGAGCTCAAAATTACAAGGCTACGGAGTTGAACATTAGTAACGTAAACACAAAATTGGGTCGACTGTTCAATGACAAAATAAAAATAAAAGTCTACATTGAACTGTCCATAATTCTTAAATAAATTTTTAATAAGAAGGTCATTTACGTTTTTCATGCACCCATCCAAAGTGAAAAAACTTACTTCTTTTTTCTTCTCCTTGTCGACGGTTGGTAGCTGTTTCCTCATATTGTTCCCCGAGTAAGCGACACACTTCAGCTGGAATTCTCCAATATCTTCATTCCACTGGACGGCCTGCTCAATCACTTCTTGATATTCCGGTGGAATAAACATATCGATGATGAGTTTGTTGAGGCTGAGTTCTCGATCTAGTTGGCGGATGTTCTCTAGTAGACCCTCCATCTCTCTTTGGTGTTCTTGGCGGAGATCGTTCAACTCGTTCTTAGCACTGAGAAGCATCTGCCACACCTTCTTCAATTTCTTTGTCTTGCCAGCAGCTTCTTCCTGCAAACTGGAGTATTTTTCTTCAATATTCAGCCTCTCACTCTGCAACAATAAAATAGAATTGTAAGAAAGGATTTATTTTAAAAAATTTAATCGCTTCCCTTACAGGGTTGCCACAATCTGGAGAAAAAAATTCACTGTGTTTTCCCTGTACATATTGCACACAATATATAAAGAGGAAAAACACAATCACTGTGTTCTTGTATAAGCTATATTGGGCTACCTATACTAGTTATAATTGCTGAATACTTAAGGAAAAAAGGAATTGTTGAACATACTGAAAACAAATAATGATAAAGTGACTGAACTAGTTTAATATAGCATCTTTAAATATTCCTTTGGGAGGTTACAAAATTCCATGGAAACAAAATTCCCTATATTTTCCCAGTTTCTAAAGAAAAACTCAGAATTCCCAGCATTTTCCCTCTTATTTTAGGTGATTTGTAAATTCCCTGTATTTTTCAGGTTTTTCCTGTTCTCCCTGTGGAGTGGCAACCCTGCCTTACCAATTTGTTTGAAGAAGAAAAAAATGCAAAAAATCAACAAATTTTTTTATTTTATTAACTAAAACAAAACATAATACACAAATTTTAAGTTGAAATTTCAGTTTTTTTTTGTGTGTAAAAACATTTAATTTACAATCAGTTTACTATAGCAAATAGTCTCGGGCAAATGAAAAAAGTTATATATAGGTTTTAAAACAAAAAACAACACAAAGTGATACTTTCCAAACGCCAGTGAAATGATGTCTTTCTTTTACTCTTTTTTTTCGAAGCAAATTTAGCAACCCCCATATATACAATCGCACAAAATACATGAGCAATACAACAGCAAAACTCCCAAACAATATTTATCAAACTGCCAATCACACCAGATTATTAATGTAGTAAAACAAATCAGTACTTGGTAAAAATGGGTCATTTAAAAAATTTTTTTGTTTTGTTAGAGTTAACAGTATATTCTGCACTCTGGACATAATGAACTCAAGCTATTAACGCCAGTTTCATCTAAACCACGAGAGTCATTAAAATGAGCATGGATTATACTCTTTTTATAAAAACCTTATTTTTTATTTAATAAATATTTGTTATTAGTATAGTATCAAATAACAAAGGTTCATATTCCATTTCAGGAAAAAATTCCATGGATTTCCCTGCCTTTCTAAAGCAAAAATTTGCGCTGTAAGCGAATCAGTTCAGAATAAATAATAACATTATTACACAAACCACATTAATAGAACCTTAAAAGCATGGAAAAAATATAAAACTTAATATACATCAATAAAAAAAATTCCTAAAAATGGGTAATCACCAATAATAATAATCATTCCTTTAAGCAAACATTTACTATCACAAGCCACTAAACACGTGTAGTATCTGGTTGTTTCAAAAATACTTACATTTTTAAAAAAAAAATAAACAAGTAAATTTTCATTTTTTCCAGATTTTCACTTTTGTTTTAGGTTTTTGTGCAAAAATATGCATCCTCCCTCAGTCATATGAACCATGATATTTAAAAACTTAACTATAGCAGCGAACCGATTCTCCAGAACCATCTCTATCCCAGATATCTGAATTTCCCATTTTCCTGGATTGCTAAAAATGTTTTAATACAGATATTTCTACTTTAATATTGAATTTAAAAAATAACCGTATTTTGGCATTTTTAATATTCCAATTAAAATTTTGTATTTTATCTTCACTCTTTTAACTTTATTATATTTATATAGTAAAGCATAGATGTATTTTCCCTGAAATTTCTCTACTACCTACCTACTGTTAGCTGTTCGAAAAGAAAGAAAAAAAATAAACAAAACAATGATGGTCAAATTCTTCTACTCTGCCCTGCAATCAATCTAGCAGCAATTGATTTAAGGATGATTTCCTTTTCTACTCTGCGCAATCGCACTTTCCCTATGATTAAATCATTCCATTTGGCTTTTAGTAATTGGTTTTTCCACAAGGCAGAGAGAGAGAGAGAGAGAGAGAGATAGCTGTTTTTAGTCTTTTTGCTTACAAAATTTAAAGCTCATATCATATTATCATTGCTGCCAACATGAATAGGAAAAAGTCCAGTAGATTTTACGAAATAATATAAATTTCATGATAATTGTTGCATAATATACTAAATATTTTACACATAGGGAATTTTAGGGTCATTAAAATAGAAAAACTGCAGTATTTTTGAGTCATGATTGACATTAAACATACTTGAAATGTTATGTATTATGTTCACTTATAATTTCAAATATATTAATAAGCATTTAATTCATCAAACACAGTTAAAAGATTTTTCAATTAATTTAAAAAAAGAGCGAATAAAAAACAAACTGAACATTTTAAAACAAAAAAAGTTTTGAGCTGATTTCTATAAAGGAGGTTCACTTCATTACATATTAGTAATACTTATTTAATTATTTAAGCAATAATTTGTACAAAAAATCTATGTCAATAGGGTTTTTTTTAGGAAACTAACTCAATTTTAGGGAATTTTCTAAAATGTACAAAAACCAGGAGAATTTTAGATAAACCAGCAAAAACTGGTAAAATCCAATAGTCTACTGGAAAATCCGGTATAGTTGGCAGGTATGTATTATCTATTTTATGTGAAGGCACGGGATTTAAAGCATAAGCTCTTGGCGAGTCTTATTAAATCGTGGTTTTGTTTGTTTGAACATATCTATTCCAGAGTTCAGTGTTTTTTTTTTAATTTTTAAAAAAAGATGTAAATATTTTATGAAATAAAAGTTAAAACATGTAATAAATTTAGTGATTATCGAAATTTTGTCAGAGTTAGATGGTAATGAAAAGGCTTCAATAACTTGCTTTCAGAAAGTTTTTTAATGCAGATTTTGAGTTAATTTCATTTTATCTATTTCCACCACTCAATTGAACAGGAAGAATCCCCCCTTTCCATCTACTCAGCTTCAAGCATGACTCAGGTGTTCTAGTTTAAAAATGGTGCAATTATTAATTTAAAAAATAGCCATATTTTAGCCATTTTTATATTCCAATTAAAAATTTGTATTTCTACTTTTTTTTTTTTACTTTTTTTTATTTACGTAGTGAAGTATAGCCATGTATGCTTTTTATTACCCTTCTTTCTGTTCTGATAAGCAAGTGTAATGCATTTCTCCCTCGTAAATCAAAGATCCCATTCCTTACTCTCTACTCAGTTCAAGGATGACTGGAATTTTCACATTTAGCCTAAATTGTTCTAGTTCAAAATGGTGTGAAACCGCAGCAAAATTTCCCCCAGTTTTTTGGATACCAGATTAAATGTTCTTTACTGTATTAGACAATGCCAAAATTTTAAAAATCATTGAAACTAAATTAATTGTTTGGAAGTCTCTTTATACTGAAAAGAACAGGGAACTTTATCTATCCTTGCCAAGAGGATAAAATATGTAAAGAAAAAAACATTATTTATCAATAAAAAACTGAAATTCACCTCTTTTTCTTCAAGAGCTTTCTTCAATTCCAATTCTTTTTTCTTCCTCTCTTCCAATTCCTTTGAACTCTCTTCCAGAAGTTTTTCTTGTTCTTGAGCTTTTTCCAAAAGATTTTCACCCCCAATAATTATCTGCTTTTCAAGACCTTGAAGTTTTTGCAAAAGTGCGTCATGGTCAACTCTAAAATGATTACATAAAAATTGTGAAAAAATAATAATTATAAATTTATTTTGACACTTTTTTTAAAACTAATAAAAAGTAATACCATAATATATATGTAAAAGACATTTTACCCACATCCAGGGGTGATTACAAGCCCAACTCAAAAATCCTGATAATTTCTTGAGTAAAATCATTAATGGCTCATTTCAAATGATTAATGTCTTCATAAACTTAAATCATTGGTATTTTCAAAACATAAATTCTAAATAAATTACATGCAGCATAATTCAAATGAATAATTATGTATAAGTTTACTTTTGTTTCTAATCACATCTATTATCTTACCAAAAAAACATTTACAAATGAAAGAGATGTCAAGTATAAATTCTAGTATTTTTAAATACAAGAATTTTTATACATAAAAGTGATCGATGAAGTTTCTGGACTCTGGCAGTTAGCAAAAAATCAGGATCTTTTCCAGAGCACAATCATCTCTGCACATCCAACACAAAGGCAAGGGGATAGAGAAGTTTTATAAATTTATTTAAAAATTAACTGATTATATTCTTTGGATCATAATTTTTTTTATTTAAATTTGTTTTCCTTTTAAATGATTCATAAGCTAGTTTGAACTTTTCAATTATTTTTTGTTTTAAAAAAGGTTGTTTTTGTCCCCACTAATTCCACGAACACAGCCAGTTATAATTTGCAATGCATTCTGAACCAGCAGCTCAACAGGCTGGTAATCATTGATTTAAAGTTGGGTAGGCCATCAAATCAGAAACAACCCTAATTCTTCGCAATAACAAAGCAACACCTTAATTGTTTTGCCATTGAACTATATTTAGGAGTGTTCATTTGTCTATTGTTCAAATGAGAAATATTTTGAAAAATAAAAACTTGTAATGAGTTAAAGCATTAATTTTTCATTATCTAAGAATTATAAATAAAAGACTGTGAAAAGTTGGTAAATACAGCACTGTACAAAATGAATTTAATTTGATTAATAAAGACCCTAATAATTGTACCATTACACTACTAACATTGTCCACACCAACTCTCCAAAGTCCTTTATTCATTTAAGCTCATTGTTGGTTAATTAGAAAAAGAGAAATTAGACAATATGCAATAAAAATATTCAAACCTATAAGTAGCATATCCTATTAATAGTATAATATATCCTATCAATTTGCTGGTTTAGGCTTATTGTCAGTTAATAAGAATAAAACGAATCCAGTGTGACAATTCATTAATAGTGTCCTATTAGCAGTGTATCCTATTAATAGCGTAATACATCCTATCAATAAAGCCACTTGTTTCTTTGTGTACATTGTTGGTTAAGTAGAATAAGACAAATCAAAAATGACTGTTAAAATATGCAATAAGAATATTTATTAATTGCAATATAACTATTATTAAAAGCAATGAATAAAAATAGTATAAAGTGGTAATTAAAAAGCAAATTTAGAATTTATTAAAATTTTGGTTTTAATACAGATATTT